AGTAGGCGGTAGGTAGTAGGTATTAGAGTACAATCGTATTCTATTTTTTCTTTGATAAAACAGTACCGGTATAATTGAAAATAGAAATTTCAAGCGGTTCTATTTCGGCATGGAACGACAAAAGCACCTGGAAATTTGAGCTGAATTCTGAGATAGATAGCACCGGTAAACTTTGAACAACGATACGTTAAATGGAACGAGAACTCGATTATCGAAATTGTGCGACGAATACGCGATGAAAATTGCAAGAACGTTCGACTAGCAGCAGCCTAATAATTTCCTGTTGTGTACATCTGCGTTTCAACAAAGTTAAGCTATTCTCTTTGTGACGTTACAGGCTGTACTTATGAATCTCCGGCAGTTCCATATATTATACAACTGCAGTCTAACGATCGATAACTATGCACGCTGCTTGTGTAACAATAATAACAAAGTGATCAGTTATTCTACGAGCGCTCGGCATCTCTTGGCATTTACGTTTACCTGTATAAAGCGTAACGTTTTCAATTTCGATCGAGCGCGAAAGGACACGAAGGAAAATTCCACTTACAACATTCGAAAACTAAAAGATTTACTAACGGCGATTTACAGTAGACCCAAGGCGTTCGATAAATCGTTTGTTCGTTTCGTTTGCCGCGAGCATCGTAACGAACTTTGAAACAGCGAGGAAAAATGGCAAACTAATCGATCAATGAAACATTTAAAAACGCAGAATTCCCATGAGAACGATGAACTGCATTACAGTGGATGGCACGAGAACTCGTAAAACTAACTGAATGGCTGGCTGTAGGCGAAAAGTGAAAGCTCGGCAAAAGCTGGCAGTCGAGAAACTATCGCATAGGCACCAGCGGATGTTCTGTCTGGAATATTGCGTTGCATCCAAGTCTGCTAGAGATACGCCAATAACATTGACGTTCGAAATACCGAATACAGCCAGATTGAACAAAAACGACACAACCAGAACGATGACGAATAGCGTGCGTTGAAAATTTAATTGGCCCGTGCACGATCCTGTCTACGATAACTCAAAAATTGGCGCAATTTACCGCTCTATTCTTCCTCTTCTTTTCTCGTCAACTCGACGCTTCTCAATTGCGAAGCTACTGTTTTGGATCAGCAGGATTTATCGTTCGTTTTACCGCTTTCTTTGGTATTCGACAATGCTTCAACTTTTCGCACGTAACATCGCGTATTTAAGTCCTCCTTTTGGAGGAGAACAGCTCCGATCAAAGACGTTTTACTTCGATTTACGCAGCCTTTCGTACTGTCAATAAACTTGGTTGACTTTGCAAACGTTATAACGTATCAAAGTAACGCTTTTCACTTTAATATTTTCTAATAATCATCTTCTACAATATTTACGAGTAATGAAAACGACGATGAAGAAAGAGCAAAGTACGTAACGCGACGTTTGCGCGCGGAAATGTGTAAAAAGGTGAAAATATGTTTCGTTCGAATAGGACTGAAGCTGGGACCGTAATAAAGTACGAACATCGCGACAGAAGCGACGAATTCTGTTCTATTTACAAACCAATCTGCGAAAGCACCATCAGTTCTATACTACAGTCATGTAAAACACCGTACAACATCCATTCCAAACACTTTCATGAACTTTCCCACGAGGCTTTCATACTTACACACCGAATCTACTCATACTGGTACCGGAATGTTACTGGTCGGATCAAGTACGTTGCATAAAAGAACAACAGCTGTTAATGGATCTGTCGTCATTTTAAAGCGTCGTTATACGAGTATTCGTGTAATTTCATACAAAATTGTAGAACTAATATTTGAATGTATATGTCGCGATGTTCATTTCATTCTTGCGATATTTATTATATATTTTTACTAAATAAGGTTTTTACTTTAAAACCTTCTATCGCTTCGAGAAATGAAAATGGAATCGTCGCAGGATACTCCGTATAGCGCGTGTATTACTTCCCCTGATAATTTTCGCTGCATTCCAATTTCGTTGAATGCAAGCAAAATTTTCAAAATTCCAATATCCTTATCTATCTGGTCCGAAAATGAAATAGCTTGTGAATTCCCTTATTTTATTGACCGAAACGTTCTTCGATTGTGCACGGGTTTAGAACGCGAAACATTATTTCCGAAGGTATTATCGTATATTGAAACACATTCGATTATTATGCCAGTCAAATACAATTACGGAATACGTACATTGGACCGTTCCCATTGTTGAAATCGTGTTCTGTGCTACTAACTTGTTATCTTGTCGTTTCTTCTCACCCAGTGAAATAAATTCTAATTGAAATTACTTTGTTTCGGAACGATTATACAAATTGCTTAATTCCTGCGACGCCAGTGTATTCAACATAAACTATCGACATGAACCTTTGTCGTTGTTACTTGACGTGTAACTTTGTAAATAATGTAATTATACCGAGAAACGCGAACACGCGCGTAATTTATTATTTGCACGTTTCTCTCCGGAAACGCTTTTTGCATGGCGCAGCGTGCGAAGTTTAACGATATGGCGAAGGGAATAAATTGTAAGAAGTACAAAGTAACAAATAAAACGTAGAACGAAGCTATATAACAGAATCATAATTACGAAAAGAGAAAAATATCACGAGCACTTTCTCTCTTTTCCGCGCGATGAAGTACCTCGAACGTAATTTTAATCTCGGTCTTGGTCACTTTTTAACATCGACGCACACATTTGAACGCAAATGAACTACATTTTTTTCGAACTCTTGCATTTTGTCACGCAACTTGTTTAGCGATTTTATCGCTATTTCAAGCTAGCATCCGTGTTAGTAGAGGCGGCAGGGTTAGATCGTCGGCAACACGAAACTGTTTTACCAAGATCGACTTTGTTTCGTTCACCAGTTACGTGCATAGCGATGTTTATACTTGCAGAAACGTGTGCCTAAGTATATGCACAAGACCGTTCTATTTCTCGAAGTTTACAGTAAAATCTATCGACTCTTCGTCGATGAATATTTTCCATTAAATGAAACTAACATCTATGACTAATATAATAATGATAAATGATAATAATAAAAGTTCTTGTAAAACTATCGTTTGCAGGATATGAATATACATGTTCGACATACCGCGCTTCAGAGTAATTAGACAAAGGATAAACGTTTTAATTAGGCGGGATTATTTAGGGTTATCGTTGCTTTAACACGACGCACAAGTCAAAATGGAAACAAACAGATTACATTATGATGTGTCATTTTTAGTCCACAACGAATACTCGAAGAATAGAAGAGCACTGTATTCTTGGAATTACCCTATTACCTGTGCATGCTTGCTGAGATGGGAGCACTCGTGCGCTTCTTGTTTGAAGGAATTGCAAACTTTCTCAAACACCTCTAACTCTGTTCTCTGCTACTCTTCGAGCATTCTCTCATTTTCTGTCTCAGTACGCCTCTCTCCCAGTTTCTTTCGTGTTATCTGCAAAGAAAGTTGGGTAAAGCCGAGGCTCCACAAGCGGGACATTCCATCGTCTCTTTTATTTCTTCTCGTCCTCGTTGCGCTTGCGCTTGTGCTTGTGCTGTGCATAGCATATCTAGAAACAGCTTACCGCCGATTCGATGCAACGAGTCTTATCGTGGATCAGGGTCTCCGAATTTCATTCGTATTCGAGATATTCAAAGCAACGAATCACCGTACTACATCCGCTGTTCTCGTTGCCATCCTTATTACGTTGAAAATTCTGCGAAATTGCATTGCGCGAAACAACGATATCGCGCTACAATTTTTACTAAAATTCTCGTAACTGAATTGTGGTAAAAATAACGAATAAGAAAGGTGAAAATTGAAATTCGGTTTTCCAGCAAAAAAAAAAAAAAAAGAAAAAAAACCCATCCAGACAGACAGAAAGATAGAAAACTAGAAAAATACGCTAAACAGAAACTATTAAAAAGGACACGCCAAACGTTTGAATATTATACAAGCATAATTAACGCCATCCATTTATTACGCTGAAACGAATTACATACCAAATTGCCGGACCGCAGCGGTGTCACTGTATCGACACATTCTCTTGTTATTTATCGGCTGTAGCCTATGTTTATTACAAAGATCGATATGTTCATTCGCACCGACCCGGTTGAAAACGATTTCATCGATACAGAACCCCGTCGTTTGTTCTCTCGTGATTTTTGTTTCTCCTGTTTTGAAAGAAGGGTTTTCTTCTCGTTCTTCGGTTTGGAAGTAAAGACGTATGAAGGTTCGAACTGGACAAGCGAAGGAAGAATGCTCTTTGTAGAAGTCACTGCGCCGTATCCCTTTATTGCAGTAGTGTTTCAATTTAGCACCCGTTAAAAGAGTTTCGGTGCTTTTATCGCGAAAGTTCTGTGCGGCCAGATAGAAAATAAGAGAAGAAAGCAGGGCCGCGCCGCGCCGGGTCAAACAAAACGAGGTTAAAGGACAGGGGTGGTGGGATCGAAGTCGAACGGGGGGGAAAAAACGATACGCGGTACCCTCCCGTGACGTGGCACAGACTAGGTATCAGGCCGCGTTATATGGGTTAACGTTTACAACCTAAATCAACTTGCTATCGTGTTAATTGCTCGCGATATCTTCCACCATGACGCGAATTATCATCGTCTCCATCGACATCGGACGATCTTTCAAAAATTGTCGTGATATCGAGTGGTGGGAAAGTTCCTGCGCGTCGATAACAAGGGGAATCGGCGTCCCTGTGAGTAAACGCGAAAGGTTTCACACGTTCGATAGTCTTATCGATTAATCGTGTCTAGAACCGCGCTCTTAGAAGCTCGTTTCGCGGCTACAGTAATGTTAGTGGTCGTCGTTATCCAGCCCCTAGCGGATTTCGATATTTCTCCAACCGAATTTGCGGTTGAATTAATCCGTTTTAACAGGATTCCAAGCTAAGATAACGAAGGCTCTCGTAATAACGTTTGCCACTGGCGTGTTAAAGCTCGCGTAAAGTTCGAAGACTTCGAGAGATAGATAACGCGAGGCGAACGTGCACATTTATCGGCCGGAGCTATTCCACAACTTTCCTTCGGAGTTTCGTGAAATAACTTTTCCTTCGCGTCGTTTATTTCACGGTGATCGTGCTACTTTACCTTCAATTTCCTGCCTCATCGTTTACCCATCGAACAACGAAAACAAATGGCAAAGTTGCCTCGACAAAGTTTCTTACGGCGTCGCATCGCGTCGTGCCTCGATCCAACGAAACACAAAGGACTCGTGAGTAAATTATCGATCGCAGCTTTACGATTAATGTTTTATTGAATGTATGATTAGAGCGTTATATTTACATTGATTCCGTTTATCCCGACATGAACACGCGGCAACGCGCGGAATCGCATGAATGTCTGTCACGAATTTCCGATAACGAGTTTATCCGCAGCCTGATCGATCCACTGTACTCCTGATTCTCCCCGGATTCAACGGAGGCTTTCACTTTCCTCGCATTCCGTCTCGATAAATCTCTAACACACACACATGCTATCCAAGATTCGAAGAAGGAGTGGAAGAAGAACGGTTTCCACGTCACGAAACGTAAAGGCGCTTGTTCATCTCGAGTCCACGGTGTCGCTTACATACTACGTATGTGTATACGTATAGGTATACGTATGTATGTGTATGAACCCCGCGTGTATAAGGAATGTGTATGTATGCGCGTTTCTTTATGTATGTTTACATTTACATATGTATATATAATGCACGTACGAAGAAAACGGTTCACTCATCGCGCACAATGACAGATACTAGCAAGTAAAAGATCATGCTCGAATCGACAGGTTCCTACCGTCTCGCAACAGAAAAGAGAATAAAAGAGGAACCTTTCTTCGCGTGTCGTTCTATTTCCCAACGTTAAAAGTGAGACACATCTTGCACCACATACTTTCTATATCGATTCCAAAACCAGCAGAATAATCGTTACTCCGACCACGCATACGTTTTTCCAGACAAAGAAATTGCTTGGTACATAATAAAGGAACGGGGTGGAAGGAGATGAGTACACGGGATAAGGGACAAGAGGGTTAAAAGATAGAAGGGAATAAAACAAAAGGATTTCTCGGTGGCTACAGTTCTGCTGCTCTCACGATCGGACGCGGTTCCCCTCGATGAGGGAGCACGAATCTCTGAAAAGAATCGCGCTACAGGTAAAAGGGTCGGTTCGAAAGTGGCGGCGGTTCCGTGTGTTCATACGTGAATCGATACACTCGATGACATTCCGGTTTTAACACCAATGCAAGGATATCGTTCTTGCAGGGCCGATTGGAGTTACAGTTGAAAAGACGAATCCCGAATGGTCGACCGATGGTCAGAGTCGTCCTTGCGATAGGAGAGATGAACCGAGTTGCGGTAGCGCGGCCACGACTAACACCAGTCGTTCCCATAAGTTCAACGGTGATTCATGTCGGGTAAAGGCTGGTGAAACTCGGTATCCTCCAGCTGACGGCCGCCAAGAGGGACACCAGAAAGTTACTCGCTAAAATTGCTGGACTAAGGTTCCTTCTGTCTCCTCCGTGCATTGCCGCCGGTTTCTCTTCCTCTGAAACGAGATTAGAAACTCTGACTCGATAGCTGCAAAAAGAAACCGTTCCTCGTGAAAATGGCCGAGCTAGAATGAGAAGAGGCGCGTCGCCAGACAAGACCACCCCAATCTCATAGAGGGAGAAGGAGAAAGGACACTTTCGTGGAGGAGCGGTAAAATACCCCTGAGGGTGACTACGACGTTTTAAACGAGCTCGACCGGTCGGACACTGAAAGCTAAAGCCCCAGACGAGACGAGCCTCGTCTCTTTTTCTGACTTCTTAGTCCCTTGTGCGAAGTTCGCCTTCGTAGTCTGATCACGCGCGCAACGATCTCCGGAACAGTGGCGCGCGTCTAGGAGATGCTTAAGGCTTTGTCAAATTTTGCTCCTATCTGGATTTCTATAGAACTTTTGAAATATCGAATGCTCGATCGTAAGGCGAAACGTTTCGCTTTATCCTGTATGCCAGGAATCTGGTCCGACGTTAATTAAGCTCCTAGCTTTGCCTCGAACGAAATCTCGATCCTAATTATTTCTCGCTAAATGATTTTTCGAGACAAACTAAATACGGATCGGCCTTACGTTTGGTAAACTTAATTTGCTCACCTTCGATCACGTGAACCATCACGTAAGCCGATTTAGCATTGCTCGGTGAACACGTATAATTACCGCCGTGCGACGGTTTCGTTTTGTTGACCATTAGAATCGATCCGTTCTTGGTCAGTTCAACTTTCACGCCTGGCTCCTCGTCGTAGTTGATCATATGTCCCTGACGATACCAGAAGACGTAGAGGGGCGATTCCGCAGCTGCCTTCAGTTGACACTCCAACCGAAGACTAGAACCTTGCTTCACGTGTAAATCAGGCGCCCCGGGTATGATCGAGTACGCTTCTGTGATCTTCAAGAGCACGAAATTCCGTTGCACTGGATGCGACGTAACCTGAAATTTCAACGCCAATAGTTGCTTCGTGGATAAATCGAGTTCGATTATCGCCTCTTATCTGTCAAGTGGAAATTTCTACATCGTTTTAGGAACGATCTTCGATAAACGTTTTGGCAAAATGTACTGTTCCTAGGGAACTATTCCTAGAATCTTTCGAATATTTCATGGATTCTTCGTAAATAAAATATCAAGGTGTGTTTCACTCCCGCGACAATTTGCGGCTAACATTTAACGCTGTAAACCGAGCTTCGGATTAAAGGCTACGATAACCTTAACTGACCTTACGCTGACTTTTCGGATGGTATTTAACGTATGACGTCTAGAAAAAGCTCTAATTTCGTCTGGTAACGCAACTAAACGACCACAGCGCGGACGAACTAAACTTGTTACGCGTCTTTTATCATTGAAATATCCTTTCGTTTTGTTTTGTTCTGTTACGTACACGGAAAGAGACGTTCCAGGAAAGTTACTGTAATGCGTTGCCATAAATTTAAAATATGACGCCCGTTTTATGTTGAAATAGATGATATGCATGTTGCAACGTCGCAACAGAGTGAAGCACCATCGTACTGAAGAAGAAACGTGCCTTTTATTACACATAGATACATCGCCAAGTATACCTGACATTCGTATATACCCTCGTCCTGGAGAGTAACTGCTCGTATTTGAAGTAGCCAATCAGTACTCGAATGCATCACGACAAATCGTTTGTCGACTGAGTGGGTACTTGTGCCAACAGTCAACAACCGTCTGTTTTTACGCTTCATCCATGTAATCTGCAATAAAAAATTGTCATGAAGTATACGTCCGTTCGATATTTATTCAATTTTATTTATCGCAAGCTTTGCCCGTGTTTATTACAGACGACTGACCCATTTTATAGATTGATTTAAATAAATATAAAATAAAGAAAGAACGTCGTTTGTATTAATAAATGTATCAATGTGTACATGTATGTTAATCGGATAATACATACGAAAGATTTCCATCATGGAGAAAGCTCAAAATAATTCAGGGATGGAAACAAGTGGTTGTAGTAGGATAGGCGTTAAAAGCATTTAGGTCATTTACGGTAACAATGTATAGGAAACAGCGTGTATCATATCAGGCAATGAGAGAGGGAGAGTAAGCCACGCTTGCGTCCAATATCAATTACGATGGCCATTAGTGTACCCTAATTTCAGGGTAATTTTCATTCTTGACCGTGTTGACCACGAAACTTACTCAATTTGTTCGATAACTGTCACGCCGCGCCACGCCGCTTCGCCGCCTCTCTGTTCACCCTGCTTCCAAAAATTGTCCCCTTTCGTTCATGATAATTTATCAAAATTTATCATTGCGAGCGATGGCGTATCAATTCCCATTGCTCCCGCCTGTCCCGTGCTTTGTACGGCTGAACAAGAACTTGAAAATTGCTTCGGGGAAAACAGATTGCCGGCTTTCAAATTACTTGTTACGTGGGCACAAGGTGAGTGGAAAAATGAGAAACGAGGAAATTGACTTTCAAACAGATTGGACAAACCTGAGAGTTGGAAATGGTTTGTACTAATCTGCCAAAAGCTCGTCTACAGGTAGAAATGTATGCTACTCGTCATAATGTGGTAGCTAGTAACGAGCTTCCTCTGAAACAGATGTAGCTCAACCGTAAATATGAAAAAATATCGTACGAACGTTTGCAAACTCGCGATGCATTTCTAAACGAGTCGCACTTTGGTAACACGCGTACACTGCATTCGTTAATCTCGTTAAAGATACGACGCATAATTTTCATTTCTGCTCATGTTATAAGTGTTTCACCCGGTCCCATTGTAAATCTACCGATGCGCGTCATTTCCGCATCACTCGCTGGAACACATCTTCCAAGAAAACAACTAACTATTGCAAAATGATAAATAAATACATTGTAAAAATAACGATGAAAGAAGAAGAGTTGGTCTTTTGAGAACATTCGTAGAAATTATATAATTAACGATTCGATCGAAAGACAATCGCTATCGATCGATTCAATCTTGGTTTGAATGGACCTTCCAATAACCCGTTCTAATGCTTAGTCGACGCGTAGGTGATTACCACTACGACTCCATCAAATACATCCGTAGGAAACCAATTCTCGGGGATATGACATTACTAAAACCATCGACTGCCCCTAATCCAGGATGTTCCCTATAATCCTGGATTCCACCGAAAGAGGACTTACTTCTGCCCGCCACATCTGTACCTAACGTGATATGAATTCGTAATTTTGTTTAACCATAATTAACCGCACACACCCTTTTGTACCGAATTAATTACGATTATTCCGGTTAACTGGTCTAATTCAGTGAACGTAATATAACGCTCGACGAGATCGACCGTACCATTAAAATCGATTATTCTCCTCGACAAAATGCAAATGGTACATTACGTTCGAACGACGACTTCATTACGCGACTCTTAATTTCCTTTGACATTGTTTCAACCATCGCTCTTCGCAGATACGAATTGGATAACGGATGTTTCGAGAATTCCCGAAGGAAGCTATTAAAGCGGGCGTAGGCAAGAAAGAAGGGTACGCGCTCAGATATAGATCCACGAACCCATGGAGCTTTTCAAGTAGAGTCCCACCAATACTGGCAAAAGCTTAATTGAAAACGACTATCCACAGCAGCAGCCTTATACCCTATTCTTAATCTCCCAAATGGGAATTGCCGTGAACCTTGAAGGATGTCCTTTCTACGATCAGTGGATAACGTTGTGGTCTCGTTTCGTATCCTGACAAAATCTTAACAAACCAGTTCTCTGAGGCAAAAGCTCGTTCTGGGAACCATTACACTTGACGAAAACGTCACTGAAATTACGTCCCAGCTGAATTATATAGGCTTGCTTATTATTCATGATCTTAAAGCATAAATCATTTATTTTTATATCAACCTAGAGTGGATATGACAAAACATTATACGCATGACAAATCCATTAATATCTTTTCGTAGAATTACGCGCGTCGTTGATTATATTTTCAATTTTAAATTCAATAGATTCGCGATGGATAAAGCCTCTAATGCTTTAATGTGATTTACGAACCAGGCGTAAAATAAAACGGTTCCAATTACGCTGGCATAATTACTATCGCAACCCTGCGTATGGTACGTAATTCGCCGAGATCAACGTTAAAAGCTCGTTCTGGTTATCAGAGAAACGATTTTAAAAGTATTCCCTCGACGAGCCAACTTCCCTCGTCTGCTATTGAGAAATCAAATATCAGCTCGATGTCAACTACGTGTTTCAGCGACGGGGAACGAAGGCGTAGGCTAATCGTACGATTATCGTGGTTTCAGTAACGAGCCTAAACATTCTTCGATAGAAGGGAAACGCTTTCATAGAAATCGCAAAAAGCAAGCAAGCTACGCCGAGAAAAGGGACAATCGTAATTGTCTTGAATACCGAAAGTTTCAGTTTCCAAAGCGCTTTCTTCTTAAAGTTTGGTACAATTGGCCTAATAAGTAATTGACGAAGAGCGATTGCATAAAACAGTCTTTGTGGGACGGTAATCGGGAAGGAAATATTTGTCGAGAATAAAACGTTTACGTATCTCCCAAAGCTCCGCGCTCGATTACTTCGTTCCTTTGCGTTTTCTCCTTTTGAAAGGTTCGCTAGTTTGCATCTTTGTTCGTACTTCTTAATATCCTCGGTATAATCGTTTCCCGCGTTTAATAGTTTAATTTGAGAGGGAGGAGATAGGAAGCGGTGTTCAAGATAATACCGGTATTCCACGGTACTCGTTGCATTGTGTTCCTTCTTCTATATAACGATGGCAGAGTCTGGAATACGCTGACAACGTAAAATGCGAAGGTGTTGTAACGACAGGTGACAGTTATGATCTTTACTGCACATGGTTCAGCACTTAACGCGTGATTTACCTCCATTGACATCGTGTCGACCCCTCGTTTCGCGGTTTTACCGTAAATCGACGACTTTAACTGTACACTGAATAAGTAACGACAGATTTATGGGACAGTAAAAGTTGTTTTTGCATAAAACACGTAAAAACTGGCATTTTTTACGCGCCGATCGATTGAATCGTCTCTGATGCATCAATTTTCGATATTATTCATTTTGCTGTTCATCCTGTTAGTTCCTAGAAATTTATTGGAACACGCATATTTCTCGGTACCCGTTGATTTTGCCGTGGATACCGTAAAGCAAACAAGAATAGCGTGGGTGTTATTGAATACTGCCTGGATGAATCAATTTTTATTCTCACGTGGACCGATAACAATACCTTGATCAAACAGATCCGATAGTGCCTCCACGCTGTCGAATGTAATAGACATAAATACTGTATCTGGGATCTGGGACGTGCGTATGTTAAACATGATCCTAATTTTCTTTGAGAAAGGAAGGAAATTTCCATCTGCCGTAACGTTTGAAGGGAAACGAAAAGTTTGGCCGATTTAATAAACGGGATTCATGGTACAATAATTTGATGTACTTTAAACCGTTGTTATGAAAGCAAAGCAGTTCCAAACTAATTCGGAAAAAGACTTCCTCAAAGTTTACTGGATAACGAATTGGATAAGCACGGAGCATAGAGTTTCAGCGTTCTCTCAAACGCGAATAGTAGTTCGCTGGAACAACATTAATCAACGTTACTTTGACCGGAACCCACTTAAGGTGCCTGTTCCTGGAAATTCCCTTCGGAAATCCGCCCATGGATTTCCCGCGATCAAGCAAATTAATTCCTATCCGTAGCCTCGAGATGTTGTGTTCGTCAACTATATGAATGGAACACCCATTTGTCTAGTTAATAAAATTACCCAATAAAGCAGTTCGATATCAATGTCGATTAAATAACGTGTTAAGCAATTAGACAACAAAGATTCGAATAGAACGATATTCGAGAGAAGTACGCATCCGCAAACGAAGTGATACTTTCGATACCTTCGAGGAGGATCGTCGGTTGTGTCATTCTTTCTATTTTTCGATCACGCAAAGTTCATCCTTGAAACAACACGTACCAGACCCCAGTTCGTGGTCCGCTGCTCACCGACGACGCAAATAGACTTTGGAAATTATATTTCACAGACAATCCAACTCTTCCTTTCCTTTCCTTGAATATACCTGCTTCGCGTTGCCCACCTATCGTGACAAGTTGTTTTCAATTTCCACGAGTGGTGTTTTCCTCATTGTTGTAGAGGCACATACTCGAAAGGGGAAAAGTTGGTTGAAAGATATTTCCAAAATTGATATCCCTTAACGGAAGCACTCTTTCTTGCCACTGCCGCTCCTCGCTTCTTTCAGTCTTCTTCGTACCCTCGATCGAACGACTAGGCTTTTAAAGCAACAAGCCTTGTTTCTCCCTCTCGTACACGCCACATAGATGAATTATCTTTTATTCATGTTCTTCGTCGATATAAGATCCTACCAACAGTGTTATTTGCTTTCCGTCCGTGGACAGAGTACTTTACATAAGTGCCCGTAGGTTTACCAGCTGTCTTCTTATTTTTCATGATAAGAGTACCTCGCATTTGTAATGCACGATAGGCAAGCCAAAGATACGACACGTTCATCGAGAGAATATGACATTATAGAAAGTAAAGCAGACCTTTCATATACTCCTATAATGTTTAGATGGTCCAGTAAACATGTCACGCGCCGAACTAAGATGAAATTTCATAAACAAGCTCTTGCAAATGAATCGGTGATACGGAAAAGTTAAGTTTAAGTTAGTCATACAGTTGGAAGTACTATCGTCTTCCTGATGTTCTACCTCAATTTGTCAAGCACCAAGTCATGCAAGACTATTCCCAATACAGAAATCAACGATACGCAACATTTTGCCTGTAAGTGGATTAGGACTCTTCCAATTTTTAAAGTTCGCGTGAATTACACGTTCTCTGAAACACGCTTCCAACTTTCTCGATACATCCCAATTTATTTATCCGATCGCAGAATCGACGGATTAAAAAGATAAGTCTGAGCTGGTCGAGTAGGCCATACGAGGAAACATACATAGAAGCGTAAATGCTGCATAGTAGAATGTATGGGTATATACCGAAACGTTAGATTTGAAGTAGCATAAAGCATTGTATTCCAACAGATAATTATCGTTCTTAAAGTTGCTACAAATAAAATAAATCTTGTTCGTGGGATAGCAGAAATGCAAGGATAAATTCCAGCAATGAAACGAAGGAAAAAGCATTGGATGGTTTTGTATCCTAATGGACAATTATTATTCTGAAACGTGCCACAAACAAAATAAAACTTGTGCGTGGAAATAGCATAGAGGCGAAGATATACGTCGTGGAATTTTTCTTAGTGAGTAAGTACTTAAAACTTGTAAAATACGTGACCAAGGGATTAGCTATTCATTTGATAAGAATGTATCTCTCTCTCTCTCTCTCTCTCTTTTTATCTCTCTTTTTCCCTCTCTCTATGAAAGTTTACCAAGTGTTTCCTTGAATATGCATGTACGTGTATGTATCTTGCGTATAAAAATTCCTCGAAAATCCGCTCCACCTGATCTGTTCTATGAGAAAATCGTTCGTTGCCGCGACGTCGAATGGAATTCGATTTCGACATCTGGCTTTCGTCGCCACGAGTATCGAGGGAGACTTTCCCGCTTCTCAATGCTTCGTGTACACAACCTAGATTTTCTGTCATTCCTTTCCTCCTTCGCTTTTTTTCCTCTGAGAACTTGAACGGAGCACCTGCTACGGTATCGGTTTAACGGTGGAATCTCGTAAAATATTCTGAAATATTCCTGCACCGTGGCTACCGATGTTCGAGAGAAGGCAAGAGAAATGCGATCGGAAAAAGAAGGTAGCACGAGATACGTGAAAAAGAAACGAACAAGGAAATAAGGAGAAAAGGTCGACTCGAGCTGCTAGGAGAAAATATGAGATTTAAAATGTGAGAATCAATTGGAAGGACCGCGTTATCACGTTCGACGCACGGAATTCAAGGCGTACCTTCGTCATGATCGTGAACCAAACCGAAGGAAGGCGAATTTACAGTGAATCGATACGTGAGAGGCAAATTATTGTTCGAAGAGACTGTGCTTCGGCCGAAAATTACGAAAAGCTATTTAGAAAAATACCGAATAAAAGGCAACGAATGCCTTTTCGGGATTTCTGTATACTTAACGGGATCCGCCGATTTAAAGAATTTCTCGAATAACCCACAAGGGGATAAATTTAGAGCCGAGAGAAAAAATGGGGGAGAAAGGATCGGCAGAGAAGCAGAAACGGGTAATTTGTCTAAAAGTTCAAGAAGGAAGAAAGAAAATTAGAGAGAGCTGTGGCCGAGCTATTTGTTATCAAGGTGGCAATAATGCTCCCCAGCTCAAACCGACGCGCGCCACTTCTACAAACAGTCTTGCTGATAGTTAGATTTAGTAGCATCACGGATTAAATAGAAATTCGCCGTTTTAAAAAAATCAGTTCGTACGATAAGCAAATGTGTTATAAACGTAATCCGCATATTCAAAAGGATTTATTGAATTCGAAAATTTGAATTTTAAACTTTATATATAAATTCGGAAAATTTTCTGTATTATACTCCGAATAACGGGAACACATATTATATTCTACTAGCAGCGATATTTGTATATTTGAACAAATGTATCAATTGAACTAGTTTGAAGCAAAGTACGCCTCCAAACAAGTAATATTTTTTTGCATTATACGTATATGGGTAATGCAAAAACACGTTGAACTTTATAGAATTAATTAGGTCACAGGCCCGCGATACAGTATGCGCAAAGATGCGATTATTTAATTTGCAGTTTTTATAGAAAGAGTAACTCCGCGTCTATCACGGTTGCTACTATTGTTTCAAAAAATATTCCGTTATTTCAACGTGTAAAAGGTGCAATCGTGTCAAATTTGATATTTTATTTTATATCGGTAAACCGAAAATATCGTTTTTAATCAAATATGGTTTGACGGAAATCGATTAAACAACTCGCGAACATTTCTTCGAGTCAATTAGCAATGCAACTGAAGATTCTTCGCTCGTTTAACCGTGATTCAATTACAGTGCAAAGCTTGCGCAGAAATTGAATTCACAGTACAAAAGGAGAGTAACTTTGAAAATAGATTGGGAAGTTCTAACAAGATCAGTTTAGAAGGCTCTGGTCTGTTTTTCTCTGTAGTCCATTGAACAACATTACATGAAAGTTTGCTCTGTTCTTGATGTTTGATATTTATTCCCCTTCGCTTTATCTAACCTAACAGTTTATTTTAGAAGACAAGCACTTGTACGCGTTCATCTTCCTGATCCTAGCAACGCTTTTGAGACTTTACGTGGGTCGTACGTCTCAAAAGAATTACATTCCCTTCAGTCCCTCTTCTAGGGTTACAAACATTCAAAGAATCGTTATATATGTATAAAACGATTCCTCCAGTTTTTAAAATTCAATGAATCGTTGTATTATTCAGTCATGAATTCTCTTTCCCTCGATTGCTTCGTGTATGCCACCTGGCAAACGGAGATTAAATGAATATCACTCAACTCGCTGCTCTGGCGGCAAATGAAAATTGAACGGTCGCGAATATGGCGAGAAAGAAGGAATCTAACGAAGTGCCAATATAGAATAAAAGGTAGCATAAAAATAGGAACGAGAAAAAGAAAGCATCGAATCGTAAAATAGCCGATAGAAAGCTCGAAATTGTAGGTAAATTTTTCAGGTTAAAATTATTAATAAATGTGAAAAAGAACGCTACTGGTCTCGATCTGCTATTCTCGAGCATCGAAAATTCTAAGCGAATGTATAAAAACCGATACTGCTGCGAAAATAGCAACGAGTGGAAAGCAAAGCGAGTCGCGAACGAGGAACGAGTTGCGAGGAAAATATTTCGCGGATGTAGAGCACTCGCGTCCTCGCCTCTGGTGGTGTCGTGTATCGGCATGAAACTAATTTCGACCCTGCATGAATTACATCACGCCAGGAGGGCCGCGTATCTTGGAAATACTTTTCTGGGTCAATCGTCTACAAGCTAACTTGTATTACGTAACGACATTTACGGTTCCAGCGCCAGGTTCGGTAATTTTGCAGGGCAAATTCGCGGTGCTTCCGCTTTGTGCAAGAACTTCCCTGATGGGACCTTCGACGACATCTTCGCTTTTATCCTCGGAGCTGTTTAATGACACCAATTCGTTGCTGACCCTTAACGATTGTTGCTGCTCCGCCCGGCTCCCTGGAAAAATTACAATCACGTTACGGATTAAAATCTCTGACACACGTTGCATCGTAAATAATCGAGAAATAATTGTACCATTTAATTCGTAATTATCGCTGTATCATCGTGGATGTTACTATATGCGATTCTTATAGCCCATTTCTTAGGAAATTGCTCCGAGTTTTATGGGCCGTAATTCTTTATCTTCGGGGAAAAGACCAAAAAAAAGAACTAAAGGAGAGAGCGAGACAAGTCGAATCGTTATTAGAGATATTTAATCGCGAACTTCGCGTCATGATTTCATTCTTTTCCTGCAATCCTATCTCCGGTATCGTGACTACGTCGTAGCATAGGTAATGAAACAATAGAATTCATTCTCGAGCGTAGTTTATGTGAGAAAATTCCGGCGAGATAATTGAAATGGGAAAAAATTTCTATTAACCTAGATTCATTTTCGGAGAAAGCTCGAGCAGTATAAAACTATAATGCGAACATCGAAGTTGCAAAAGCTTAAAAGCTCAAAGGCCTAAGGGAAGATACCATCGGAGATTAAGGACGATTTTCACGCTACTTCGTTGGCAAGAGGTACAATAGCGTCAGCGAGCATGGTACCGAGCTAGAGAGGAAAACGAGACGAAATTCTCTCTCGCTTCGAGATTAATGCAGCCACCGTTGCTACGATAACGCATAACCCCGGCGCAACGTAAGTGGCTTAAGTGAATAACTTAGTCACGACAATTACGAAGCATTGCTTCGCGTTTGCAGCAGCAGAGCTATTACAAATCTACCGGGTTTTCCTTGAAATTCACTTCGAAAACACTTAACTGTCCCACGCGGTTTCTTCGTACTCTTTAATTGCGTTTTCATTCACTCGCGCACAGTTCGGCTTCTATGCCTAAACGAATCTAATTTCAACACTTTCTATGTTCGTCGCACCGATCTTCCACGTCTATAAGGTTTTTGAACATCGAAATCTATATTTACCGTGCGCGTTATAACGCCATGTAACGTTCGTACACATACGAAATTCACGCGACATATGATAAGAATTCCCTAAACGCATACGCGACCGTTTAGCCCCGAAGTATAACGAGCCTCTATTTAGTTCGCGTACTTGACTCGTGTACACGATGAAAACGTCGGCAATTAGCTCTCGTTACCTTGCTCGAGACTCGTTCGACGGTTCGTTAAACCTGACCCGTTTTCCTGAGTCCACGAATCGTCCTGCTCCCGAACACCAAAGACTCGAAAGGAGATCTCGTCATGTGACAGGCATGAAATCGCATGTGGCCAAGGAAATGGCACGCGTGCACGCGATCATAGATCGACCCGACTCTGCGACTCGTCGATTTTCTTACCAGCTTCGTTACCAGACGGCTTCGTTCTTTCTCCCGACAGTACGGCCTAGATTTCCGATTTACCCGGAAGTCGCTACGATTTATTGCCTTTTTATTTCCGCCATTTTCTTCGTCCCATCCTGTAATTTTCTGTGATTCTATCAGAAACGCGCGTCCAAAGTTAAAACGAACGCTCTACGCGTTTCTCCTCTCATTTGTCTAACATTCTTTCATATTCTTCAGCGTTGAAAGATATTGCTGCGAAAAAATGAATTTCTTAGGAATTTCATCGAATTTTAGTTACGTGTCAAGAGACATAATGTACATGTAGTTAAAATTTAAGGAAACCTAACGGTACCGAAGTCAAGATATTGATCCTCAAAGTTTTCATATTTAACACGTAATCCCTGTATCAAGTCATCGCCAGGATGACATTTTCATCTATTACAGCTAAAATCTTCTTAGAAACTTACAAAAGGACTAATATATGATGTTAAACAGTGTAAGAAATCTCATACTAAAGCATGGAGATGCCTAACGGTATCGTTTCCCAAGTAAAGAAATACAACGTATGTGATTCGACGAAGTGTCTACCTAAGGAGCTGAAATATCGCGTTCAGTTTTCCCGAAAAGTTTCTTTCTGTACCTACGCTCTCACGCGTTCTATTCCTTTGCGAGCGATTGTACCCGGAGAAATACCTTTAAAGGGATTTCTATTAAATTACGTCAACGACAAAGTATATAGCCATTCAGAGTTTTCATTCAATTTATATCGGCGCGATAGAATAATCGACACTGTACAGCAACAATAATCGGTATAATATTTTTGCAGATAAAAGCATTTTCCAAACAATGTTTATCGTCGACTTGTCTTGCCGCGTTGCGAGTTTTGTTATTACTAGAGACGCTTTCTCCTTTGGCTTTACCGGTCTTTTATAAAATACACAGCGATAACGACGAAGTATTGCCGCGTGGGAGGTGCAACCTATTTTGTAGCCGTACGAGAAAGGACAATACGCGATGTTTGATACACGCCCTAGCTACGTTCTGTTGACCACTAAGAAACCAATCTATCATCCTAAAGGAGATAGCCTGTATTGATTTTTAGAATAAGATAAAAAATTATTTGCCTTTTTCTCAAGAAGTAAAAAAAAATTGTGCACAACTTCGCGTTAAAACGCAAGCGAATAGGATTCATAAAAGTCCGTCGACGTAAAAACTTTACGAAGATAACGAAAAGGTAAAACGGTTCACGATTAATTTCGAGCAACTTGACAAAGATCGGCCAATTAGGAATCGTAAAACGCAGGCACAATAAGGATTACTGTTCGTTTAATTAAACCTCCGATTAAATTCCTTATCTGCAACGTAGGTGCCTTATACAATTCTAGACAATCGGTACGGGTTGTGTTTTACTACGATATTTCAAATCTATTTGTCAGAGTCGGTCGACAGACAAAACCGAACCATAACTAAAAATTTCATCGACAAAACAGATACGAATAAATTCTTAGCGAGGTAGTGATTTCTTCGATCGAGGAACGAATAGTTTATTGCCGGCGGAAAGTTTCTACCAGCGCTAACGAGCCAAAACTTTGCGCGGTCATCAAAAGCACGATAACCGGATATTACTTGTCAGCCATCAACTAGCATGGTGAATTAAGTGTTTTCTGTGTCAGCACGAAAATGACGCGGTGAAATGCAAATGCCGAAGAGCTTCTGCTATATAAGCGCACATCCAAAATTCCTTCGATTCGAACGACAACGATTTATAAAATGTAGTTCTAGTTTCTTACATATCATATAATATAAATAACTGCTAATAAACTAACATAATTTTGTCTATCTTGTTATAATTATTTATTTCCGATCTATTATTATTGTTATTTATTTTACTTAAAGTCAACCGTATTTTATAATCATTAGCATGCGCGATTAACGAAATACGTAACAATAATATACCGGAAACGAAGTGTAAAATATAATAAAGTAAGTTACAGAAAAGTTAAATAATAATTTCTATACATTTTGAACATACACCATTTACAGTACAATTACAGTAGAATACAACGCGATTAAGTTAAACTTAAATTAATACGATACAGTGCATGTTAGAACTAAGTCCGTAACTTACAATGTCATAATCGATGGTGTAAATTAATATCTTTGAGAAAATAGAGGAGATTTTCGCAATGCCTTTGGTGATGATTTAGACACGTTCGATTATCTCGTTTTTTAAACAAAAATCGTTTGATGTATTTTGACACTTACCAATGAAATAAAGTTGTATTTCCAAGAAAGTGCTCAGTATGATCAGAAGCGTTCTCATGGTGACAACTAATTTACAACGTCCTTACTTTAGACACTCATCATACTTGTCTGTAACAAGAAAAAGAAGATAAAGTGAGACGGCGTTTCCCTTTTACGTCATTTTCGTAAAGAAATCATTTGTCCAAAAAATTTCTCGCACAGATTTATAAGTCTCAAGACGCGTTATAGCTTTTATTTCAACCATTTTTTGATACCTTGTGTCGGTTACGATTTATAGTCACTTACATACAGGGGCCGGCTCTGATAAAAGGGTTGCTTTCTTTCTTAGAAGTAAAAAATGGCCACGGGTTACGGTTAAATTCTTAGATAGATCCCTTGTGCAAAGTTTCAACAAAATCGCCGTGTATTAGTCACCGGATTTCTCTTGCGAGTATCATTACACGAAATATAATGTACAGCACGACTATTGTCAGCGATACACTATCTTCGTCATTTTGCCCATGTTATACACAAGCACGACAATATTCACGTCTCCTGTAATCGATATGGATTCAAGTAGAGGGCTGTGACCCTTAGTCTTTTCTCGTTCAGCTTCAATCTTTCGCTGTAAGTGGCTCACCTTCGTCAAGTATATTCGACAAAAGAAAAGAGCACGTAGAAACGGATCACAAAAGTTTTTCTTGGACAAAAGATTTTCGGTATTTTATGGTCTTATACGATATAGGAAATCGCAAATATTTTTTATTATTTGCGAGTTCTTTTCGAAGAAAACGAACGAGCGAAATGATCCATCTTATGAAATATCGTTCGTTCAAGTAAGTTACCGAACAATATTATTTGCCTCCCAACTCCATTCTCGTTTAGGGGACTTATAAACGTAAAATGGCCGTAAATACACTCTAGAATTTGTACAGATGGTTTCCTTTATTTTGACATCTGTTTAGTTACACCGGCAATACAGCTAAGAGAGATCCAGAAAAATTCGATAAGTTTCCATTTGGAGGAAGCTCTATCGCGCATGATGTACACAGATAGAAACGTCTACCGAAATTTAGCATCGATTTATCACGTACAGTCTTTCACTGCATTTATCGTACGTTTATCGCACAGAATATCAGACACGTTTGACCTTCGGTTTATATCCACTTTCATTGTATTCTCCAGTTTTTATTCTCTTACAAGCTCCTTTGCTCCCGAATATCTCGCTTCTTTCATTTCATCGTTTGCTAAACGTGCGACACCAGCCATACTTCGACAACCATTTCCTCTTCTGGAAACTAAATACAACGTTACAGGCGATGATAAATGGAAAATTAAAACAGGAACACCAATATGAATTTTTCCATCTTTCGTAACGTCCAATCAGATTTTGCACGCTCTCTATTTCTAACAAACGATCTCTTCTGCTGAATTGGTACCAGGATTTTCATGTACACGAAACAATCGTGCGGCAATATTTAATAACTCAACGAGCGAAAAAATATCGTTGGAATAAAAAGAGAGAACAACCGAATATCACCCGTTTATCAGCATTTACATCATCGCGATAGCTCTCGCGAAACGGCGTACATTCTCGTTTGAATTTATTCCCATGTTTACCCACTCTTAACAGTTCAAACGTACCGCAAGCAGTTCATACGCCAACTCGACGAACTTTTGAACATAGCCCATCATTATTTCTGGTTGGTTACGTTCTGTAGCTCGCACATGTTGGCTCCTGCCCATGTCCGATTATTATCGTCACTATCGCGTAATAACTTTAACAATGAAACTGACGTCCCTTCAACGGAGCTGCGACAATTCATGGAACATTTTCATTCTCGTTTCCTGCTTTTTAAGCAGGTCGCAATTTCTCTTCACTCTCCTCGTGCTTTTCGTTTCTCGTGTCTCTCGTTTCTCGTGTCGCTCGTTTCTCGTGTCTCTCGTTTCTCGTGTCTCTCGTTTCTCGTGCCTTTCGTTTCTCGTTCCTCTTGTTTCTCGTTTCTCGCCACTCGTCCCGTATCTCGAATCTTTTTTCTTCCATCTCGATATTCATAGCTCGTAAAACCAGTTGAAACATTCCATTAGAAATTCCATCGATTCAATGAGACGAAAGTTATTTAATTGGCGACGACGCCCTGTCGCTTTTTCCATTGCAAAAGCGTGTGACTTAAACTCGCCTCGCTATTACTCGCTTTAACGAGATTCACGGAATCAATTGATCCTCGGTTGACTGGCTTTCGCGTGTTTCGTTGCCGATTCACCTTGTTCGCGCCTATATGAAATCGACCGATGTACGACAATTTCGACTTGCCACAGACAAACTGCGCGTTAATTATACAAGTTTTTCTTCTCCTGCTCGTTCCGGTATATGGCGCAGCTTGCACGCGTTGTACAGGCTATTATTCACTAACTTCAAACTGATTTAAATGATAGATAATCGCAGCGGTATAACACACGAAAGCAAGCGTCATTTTGCCTTGCTGTGAAACAATGAATGTTTCTGGCAAAGCAGAATCCAGCGCATGAGCAACCACGCTACTAATTTAGCTTCGTGTGAAGTTAAGTGTATAGAGTACGTAATGCACGTATACATTGGCAAGCAAACGTGTAGGTAAATATATATATATATATATACTGCAAAATGCAAAGGGATATGGAGGAGCTGAAAGGAAGGAACGGGATCCATGGTAATGATCTCGGTCATACGGTTTCATGATGATAGCCAGTACACTTATTTACATACTGATATGAACATCGGTGCAAAAGTTTGTGTAATCAGCTCGTCGTGCAGATATACGAGAAATCGTGGCAGGATCGTCGCCGAGAGTTGAAATTGTACGCGTGTAAAATATGCGAAACGAGAGGAAGGAAGTTGAAACGATAACGAATGGAAGGAGCGTAAAAGGGCAGCGATGCGGTGTAAAGACATTAAGCCGATTTCAGGTTAACAAGTATACCGGTTTCACTCGTCTTAAATGAGCGCACGTTTCGTGCTTCTCTCGCCGCGGATTAATGCTCCTTTTATTGTTGAATAATATCGTTGAATAATTTAAATGGACTATATGTTTATACCCACACTCGTGTTTCAACAAAACGATGAATCTTATCCATAATAAAGCGGGTTCCGGGTGAAAGTATTTTGAGAAAGAGGGTTTGTAATTGAACGCGTTGTATGTGGAAACAAATGGCAGTGTAGTCGAAAGAACTTCTGTTTACCGAATAGCCCGTGTCCCTTGGTAAATTGAAATGGTTCGTTCGTACACTGCATTCAAGCTTGCCGTACAACTTATCGCGCTCAAATGAAACAAGTTCTCACTCGGAGGCAGACAACCTCGGGCGTTAAAGACTTCCTGGAAACCGCAAATACAGTGCCACAATACGTTCGCAGGAAACGTCAAAACTTGCATGTCGATGCTTATTTGAATGACTTCGGCGTAAACTCGTATCTAGCCGCGATTCTTTTCTCTTCAACAAGGTATGCAAAGCGTTCGACCTTCGATGTCACGTTTACAGTTCATTACCAATACGTTGCACCCTTATCTCTTTTAATGTCTAAAACGGTATACTTCATACACGAGTTACTTGCAAAATTACCTGCACCTCCCTTTGGCTATATTACAGAGCGATAACGAAGATATAAGAGTAACATCCCAAAAATTGTGCATAGTTTAATCGTGTAAGGATTATACAAATTGCCAGGTTTTTTCAAAGCTTGCATGAAAATGTTTCAAAGTATTAACAAATTTAATATCCGCGCGATTCATCCAACTGAAAAATATACCGGAAATACATGACGTTCGTAAAAAGAGGCGATTACAAACACAACGTGTGCACCAAGATTTATATAAGGTCTTATTGTATTTATATAAGGTCAATTTCGAATCCTCTAACATTATGATAGATTTCGTAATGTTCGTTTTTATGCGCAATAAATGATAAATGTGCGTAGGATATTTGTTGAGTACTGTATTTTTAATTATAGCGCGTACGAGCAAACGTTTTCTTTTACCAAAAACTGACACTGATCTAGATCAGCAAAGCTCTGCGTTATTTGGTATCATTGAATTTGCGCGTATTAATTACTGGATTTAATCGTTGGTGAAACTGGTTTCAATATCCAGTATAGTAGCATTAATTTAAAATAACACGATCAAAAAGTTTTATTAGAGGTCCGAGTATACAAGCGAAATGAAGATTCCTACCGATACTGAATAAAAACGACCTTTTAGTTTGTTTTTTTAAACTTTGACGTCTTCGACAGAATAAATTCTCTAAATAAAATCTCAGTAATATAATAATAACTGTATAAATTTATGCCAATTTTAATCAGTATCTCAGAGGTATACTTCACGTAACTTTAACGTTTGATTTAACATGAGTTTGAAACAAGCTCATTAAGATTTGATCGACTGCGTTGCTGCTGTTGAAGTCAATTAAAATTCTACGATACAACTTAATCTATAATTTAAAGCATATTCGAAGGATGTATCGTGCCGATATTTATTTTGTATATAAGTACTCTATCTAAAAATCGATTTTTGGCTAAAATTGACAGATGGTAATATTTAATAAAGGCAAATGTATGACATACATATTCGGCACCATCACAAACGTTCAATATTTTGTATCATGTTTCTATTTGAAAATACATTATTTTGGATTAACATCAAAATTGCAATGTCTCTAGTAATTATTTATTTTACCTCATTAATGTCTCTCTACAGTCGTAACACGTTTATACTAAACGTTAGCATTTATTATTTCGTAGAATGATTTTCGTCTCTTGTATTCTATATTGTATTGCAAAATCATGACTTTTTCCATGGCGCTAGTTGCAAGTGACGATCGATCTACCGATTAATCTGTTGAAACCTTTGCAACGAACGTCATCGGTTAGGTGGGATTACCTTAATCTCTTGTCCACCTCCCGAACGGAGATCAGTACAGTTTTTGTGTGGTTTCCACGCATTGACAATATGTTCGTGTCATAGCTACCAAGTTTCCTCTTCGTTAATAGTGGCGTTCCCATTTTCGAATAATTTGTATGGAAAAGATTATAATTTGAAGTAACATTCGCTTAAAGTTAGTATTCTGTGTAACAAAGATAAGCTCAGCCCTTGCAACTACTTCTTTCCAGTTAATTAAATTTGTACAAGCTTTTTCTATTTGTTAAAAACGTTAAGATGGTTTCAACGGTGTATACAACATGAATTCTCTTTTACCTCACGGGAAGTTACAAATTTTTAATGAAACCTTTTCTAAACTCGAAATTTCCATTAAGCTATAGTACTTTGTCTGGCTGAACGTCTCTCGGTTAGCAAGTCTTGTTCTCTAACATACGTATCATCATTGCATGTAAACGTACACCAAATACCAACTACACAAAAATGTTAATTTTCTGGGAAAATTGCTATTCTTATTCGCTGGCTACGGTAAAAGACATCTTCCATTCTTTTATTTCTTGTCCTCATTTTTCTAAATATTTAAACAAGAATTCAAAAGGAAAACAAGATCGTTCAATGGCATCGTGAAGTAATTGAACGAACGAAAATTATGTAGAAAATGAGAAAATCGCGTTACTCGTGCATATTTCAACGTGTTTTGGCATGTAAGAATAGTATCGTTAGCTAAGAAGAAAAGTTAATCGATCGGTTATTTATCTCATAATTCGTGACTAGGTAATACAAAAGTGTTTAAAATCGCAAAGCAGATTCAAAGTTCATAAAGAAAGAATGTCCGTTGAATTGTTAAAACGAAACATTTGCGAGATAATTTGATATTTTCAGTATCAATGTTAAATAGAATAAGAATTTCTCGTATGAAAATTTGAAATCCAAAACACTCTTCGACGAGTAAAGGCTGTCCAATTAGACTTTACTAACAGATTGTACGACTTGACGATTCGTTATCTCTTTTGCACACAATTTTCGCGAAACAGCTATCGTGTCTCTTAATCGAGATAGAAGAAGAATGTATAGATCCGGAGATCAACCCTGGGCTTAAAATAAGTACATAGGTCACCGCGTCGCCTCGTGCTGCCACGATTAATCATGGAAAAAGTTTATCGGTTGTAAGGAAACGGAGAAGTAAAACAAGCAGAGAGGACTATTAATCTCTAGTTGATGAAGCCAGGGTTGATTTTCACGATTTTAGAATTGGACAACTTCTCGTCCGATTCGTCTTTCGTCGATATCGCTGTAATTAAAGGGACGAGTTCTCTGGAATTCTCCGAAAACGAAATGCACCGAATCGAAGGGAGAAACTTTTCGATTTCGAGTCGCTTCTTTCTGTTACGTATCGTTTCACTGTTTCTCTATTTTTATCTTTCTGCTTTTTATCTCTCTTCCTTTTAAACAGTTCGACATACGTTCAACGTTAAAAGATATCTTGAACGTAATGCAAATTTAGCAGGAATTGCAAATCAAACGCGAAAAATTACTGTTTACTATTTTCTTAAATATATTACAAATAGAGAAAAGGAAGCTGGGAAAAAATGTCGTCCTATTTAAAAATTTGGTTATTTCATTATATGAATGTCAGACGTTATTTTTAACTCGTGATTTTAACTCGTGCTAAATCGTGATGAGAGAGGCAAGCATATTTGTTTTATTCGAGTATTCTTCCGTTTGCTATTAGAAAAGTACTTAACGTTATTTATTCACATCTTAATTATATCGAGTCAAGGGATAAGATTACAAAATAAATAATAGCAGTATTACGGTAGATGGAATCAACGAATTAACCTAGAAAATCGGCCAACAGACCACGGACAAAATTGAGATGATCGTAAGTTCACAAGCAAGAGAAGCAATTTCTCCGCAATCGACCATTTCGTTCTTAGATAGCGCGTGGTGTTACGAATGCCGCGCTACATTGGCTTTCTTTACCTCAGATCGA